ACAGGTCGTCGTATCACCTTTGCCACTTCTATAACAAGTCTCTCTTCAGAGGTCATATTTTCAAAGGCAACTTCGACAGCCTGCCCAGTTGAAATTTCATCAGAGTACACGAGATCACTTGTCCCAGAAAATCTCTGCCAGAAATTGATCCTGGGCTTGAAGTGCTTCACAAGTTTCTCCTCAACTTATATGTCTTGTAGTACTTGTAAAACTCTGGATAATTTGTTTGCATGAAAGTACAATACATCTCTTTCAAAAGACTAATCCTAGCAACAAGGGCCAGCGCAGTGACATGTTCTTCCACAAACTGACGGACGTGCTTGGAGTGGGCTTCTTCCTCTGCAGCTGGAGCTACCCTTCTTTCTTTCTTCAGCCTCTTCTTCTCCAGAACAGTATTTAGATGTAGAAACTTGTGAACGTCAATCCTTCTTATGTGTGCAAGCTTTTCTACATGGTTCATGATACCATGCCTCTTGGGCAATGAGAACAGCATTTTCAATTTGGCCCCGAAGTTTTGAGTCAGATTTCCTTTTTACAGCTTCTTTTATAGGGGCTTCAGATTTTCTGGTAACACATTTGACAAGTTTATGAACTTTATTGGTTCCCTTGCTGTCATGTGTCCATTCAGTAGTCTTTTCATAGAAAAGGCATTGAATAGGCTAGAGGCGTGTTGAAAATGATTGCTTTACTTTTTTCCTAGTGGAGCAAGAACCTTCTAGTGCTGATTTGTCAGACTCTCCTGGTGAATGCCTTTTTCTTAGACTCCTCAACGTGGTGAATGTATTGTAGCAGTAATCATGAAACCCATGTTGAGCAGAGTCAAACTCAGTCTGTATTCTTTCACAAATTGAGGATAGTCTATCACTGTCAGTTTCTGCAAGTCACCGTTGTGTTTTTGATTTTTGAATGGTGTCCCAGCGTCTCTCAGTGTCAGTGAGAGGTTTTGTTTCATCATGGCCTTTGCAGTTACAGTCTGAGTTATGCACTACTCATTGTCCTTTCTTCAAGCTGTTCTTTCTTTTGAGATTTTGACCTGTCTTTCTTTGATGTCAAGGGAACTGATTTCAGTTCTACCTTGCTTAATTTAGAACATTCCAATCATTCTCTGAAGCATACTCGTATACTTGTATAAAGAAAATTGTACATTGCTAGAAAAAGCAGACTTCAAATTTTTCACCTCTGTCTTCTTTTAAATTAGCTTTAACTAACAAAATGTTTTTCAAGACTCCTTTATCATGCCCATATGATTGATCTAGACTATATCTGAGACAAAAGTACTCATGCCGCCTTTTTGACGTTTTTAAAATGACGTGCGGCAGTTTTGTATTTTTTCAATATAGCAATAGCAAGGGTCATAACTCCTTAAATCATAGTTATTTTGCACAAAATCCTTCTCATTTTGTGCCTCAAACTTTGAGTCAAAGTGTGTTCCTATCAGAAAACTATTGTACCGGGTTATAGAAGATCTGAAGCAATGGAATTAATCATTTCTATAGATTTTGAGAAATCAGCCTTTGAATTTTCTTTTTTCCTCTCTGCACCTTGTAATTAATTAGTAAGAATTTTTTTTTTTACAACATTTACAATACATCATCTTATAATATTTGAGTTTTACATCATATGAAAGTATACATTTTTGGCTTCACAGAGAACCCCAACATAAAAATCAAGTGTTTTCTTAATTTCTGGACAATCAAGGGCCGTAACTCTGTAGATTGCCAACATTTTGGTGCAAACTTTTTTGGGGGAAATCCCTAGGTCCTACCCTTTCAGAAAATCATGGTGGCGAAAAATCCCCAGGGGGGGGGGGGGGGGCAGGTTCACTCCCAGTAGCCCATAGCCTAATACGTTACTCAAAACAGTTGGACAAAGAAATAGAATACCTCCAGTTTTTTATAACACAGTAAGTTTTGAATTTTGACAGATTTAGTTGTGCACAGAAAACTATAAAATGACAGAACCTGTGATTAAACAAAATACTTTGTTGTATTTTACAATTAGGCATCCACAAAAACTAAAACATAAATAAAACAAAAAGTGTTTCGACCGACCGCCCAAGTTACTCAAAATTGTAAGAATTCAGTCATAAAAATACTTCCAGCTTTTTATAACACAGTTAGTTTCGATAGAGGTTAGCCGAGCACAGATACCTATGGAATACCAGAACCTGTGTCAATACATGATAGTTTGTTGGTTTTTACAATAAGGCATGAAGAAAAACTAATAGATTATCACCACCAATGCAAAAATTGTAACCGACCCACTACTCAAGTTACTCAAAACTGTAGGAGGACAAAGTAAGTAATAAGGATATTTACAGCTTTATAAAACACATTTAGATTCGACTGCGTTTAGCCGTGCTCAGAAACGCATAAAATTTTAGAACTGTGTTAAAACATATTACTTTTGCTAATTAGCAAAAACTAGAAGATTATAGCCAATACAAAAAGTGTAACGACCGACTGCCCAAGTTACTCAAAATTGTAGGAAGACAAAGTAATTAAGATACTTCCAGCTTTTCATAACACAGTGCAACTGCATAAGGTCATATGGTCGCGCGAAATAAGTTGGGTTTTTTTTCGAAATAGCTCACTGCTCGGCCTGATTCTTGTCAATATTAAATTACTAATTAAACATTTTTTAAACGCAAAAAATCGAGTGTAAATAGATTTTTATAAAACAACTTTCTAAATAACACTGAAAAGTTTCAAACACAGGGTTGGTGATTTTTTTGATTTTTTAAATAATTTTTAAAAATCGATTTTAAAAAATTTAAATCAGATTTTTTTTATTTTTAAAAAAATGTCGAGTTTGGGATTTTTGGTGGCTAAAAGTATGATCTTTTAGTGCAGAATGCATTGTCTGTATTTTAACTAATGATTAATATAAGCAACTGCAAAAGAAAGCCTTAATCTGCTATTATCAGTGAATTATGGCTACAGACAAAAAATGAAGAAAATGTCAGTCTAAAAGGAAAGGGGGGAAGGGGGTAATTATGTATAGATAAACTTGTATTTTATTACAGTGTGCGTGTGTGTGTGCGCGCGCTTGTGTTTGTCTAAAAAGAAAAAGAAAATGCTAATTTCAATTATGAAAAAAAAGTAAATTGAATACTGTATTAATTTACTACTTACAGTGACAGGGGGGAAAGCAGACTTTTAAGCATGATTATATTAGTCTACTAAACCTTATATCTGTTTTATAAAACCAAGGAAAGGAATTCTGAATGTTTAAAGACGTAAAAACAATACATTTTTTTAAAGTGATTGAAATCACTGAGGTTTATTTTTAAAATCAAGTTGATTTAAATTTTTAAAAATCAACTGATTTAAATCAACCCAACCCTGGTTTTCAATTATGAAAAGAAAGAAAATTGAATACTGTATTATTTTACAGTGACAGGGGGGAAAGCAGACTTTTAAGCATTACTTTATTAGTCTACTAAACCTTATATCTGTTAAATAAAACCAAAGAAAGGAATTCTGAATGTTTAAATATGTAAAAACAGAATACATTTTAAAAAAGTGATTTAAATCACAAAATCAAGTTGATTAAAATAAAAAAATCAACTGATTTAAATCAACCCAGCTCTGATTTCAATTATGGGGAAAAAAGTAAAATGAATACTGTATTATTTTACAGTGAAAGCAGACTTTTAAGCATGATTATAATAGTGTACTAAACCTTATATCTGTTTTATGAAACCTAGAAAAGGAATTCTGAATGTTGAAATATGTAAAAACTGAATAAAAATAAATTTAAAAAAAAGTGATTTAAATCACTGATTTTTATTTTAAAAATCAAGTTGATTTAAATTTAAAAAATCAACTGATTTAAATCAACCCAACCCTGTTCAAACAATCAATTTCTATAACTTCCCATAAAGGCCAATGGCCTTCATAAAATCTAAAAGTCTGGGAACAACGACGGAAAAAATATCTTTCAATTTTTTTTAAAATTTAAAGTATTTCCTTCGGGTCTCTCCGAAGTCTTAGACATTCGGTTAAAATGAGTCTAATGGTAAAATCTGTGTCACATCCAACACAGAACGGCTTCTCATCTCCCTGAAGGAGGTATTTGTGTGTTAGGGCCATGTGTCCGATGTGTAATCAAGTAAAAATGACTTCGTCTCTTCTGGAGAGGTCCGAAGGATTTCGCGGTCCCAGTTTGGGTTTAATATTATGGAGTTCGTTAATGTTATTTGTTTTGTTTTTTCCAGTGGCTCTCCCAGTCTGGAAGTGTACTTTTTTACTTTATTTTTAAAAGTCAGTCGTTGATCCAACAGAAGGGATAAGGATTTCTTCTCCAGGTCATCTACCCTCTCGCTTCCTCGGATGCCCACATGGCTAGGTATCCATGCGAACACAATACTTTTCCCTGTTTCAGTCAAGGCGTGTATTTTCTGTTGTAACCTATTTTTGGGTGTAGGAGAGTGTAGTTTGTGAGTGAGGTGATGCAAGACACAGTCAGAAAGGATAAGGAAAGATTTGTTAGGAGAATTTTCTACGGAGTCCAGTGCCATGTCAATGGCACTGGACTCCGCAGAGAAAATGGAGGCTTCAGGATGGAGTCTCCCCTGGTGTGTACTGTTTGAAGATAGGGCTGCGGCGCCCACATCATTGTCTTTTTTGGAGTCATCTGTGAAGATAAGCTCTGCACCAGGGTATTTTTCTTCTATAAGTTTTTTGTATTCTACTCTAAATGTTTTGGTGTTTGTGCTTGCTTTGTCGTGTGTGGTCAGCTGTAAGTCTACAACGCATTGCAAAAGAAACAGAGTGAAAGAGAAAGAAGAGGAAAAGACATTATTATTGATTAAGTACAACAACTGTAGATGTACTTCTGCTTTTGACCACAGGGAGTGAATCTCCAGCCAGTGAGCAACAGAACGAGGTTAGTAAATTCAGTTAACCCAATCGCAACAGGGACAGCATCACAAGGGACTATATTATACAATGACAAAAAGCACACAAATCAAAGAGACTAAAACCTGAACACACTTCTGGTTGATTCCATGCTTCATTTCTTTATTATTCGCTTCTCCCCTCAGTGCTCAGATTGTACCAATTGAGGGACATTTTCCAAAATACAAATCTTAATTTTCCTAGATAACACCCAAAAATGTACGAAATGCGTACACTATTTCACACACCAGAGAAATAAACTGTGTGCCTCTCTATAACCAAGAATGGAATTTATTTACAAAAGGATCGAAATGCCAATCAAATTTCACACTAGCTGGTAAAGACTTACAGTAGTTCAATCTATATCATTTCTACCATCCAAACATTCACAACATCACTGAATTCAATACAATAGTCAGATGTTGCAAACAAACACAATCACTGCCTGCTAGCTACCTCCTGGAGAAAATGAACAAAAAAAAAAAAAAAAAAAAAAAAAAAAAAAAAAAAAAAAAAAAGAAAAGAAAAGAAAAACGCACTAAAACAGCACTCAGTTTTAAAACACAATTACCAACAACCATACCATTGCCCATTATTATAAATAAATATTATGTGTCGTGCGACAGTAATAAAACTTGTTACAGAATTACTTACAAGTTCACTTATGCTGACAGATGCCACCCACAAAGAAATCCCAAAATCATCAACTGATAAAACTAAATTTGAAAAGAGCACCAAAAAAAAATTTTAAAAAATCCCATCAATTTCCCATATCCCTGCACTGGATTAAAGAATAGAAAAAAAAACAACCCCATGACCAAAAAGGTAAATTGTAATGTAAGTAAAAGCAGAAATTTAATGAAATCTACTTTCACTCCGGCAGTGACATACAACTTGAGAGTGTATCTAGGGAAAAAATTATCCAATTTACTACATGTAAAATATCTGTGCTAGGACAACTTGAACAAGCCAACAGCAATATACGACCCCAACTGCGAAGACTGCCCTGAAGTCTGCAAAGCAACCAGTGAGAATAATATCGTGGCAGCTGGCTGAAAACAGTCAAGGATTAGCCGCTAAAAAGCTCTCCCCTCACATTTCAGGAGTTAAAAAAAAACAACCCAAAAAACATAAGCCGCCATAAGGTCAGCTCTACTCCACAGATCATCAGGCAAGGAGTCCCTCCTGTACACGAATGTTTCGGCCCCAAATCCTTGCAACATTCACAGGAGGGGGATGGGGCCACACCAGGTGATCAGGCTGGTGTTCCCAGGAGAAAGAGTGACCCATGACCCCCGACTTGCCCCGGCCTGCCTCCAGACATACTTTCTTCAACTGGTGAGCTTTTTCAGGAGAAACAGCACCTTTCGCAAGCACCAGTACACGACTGCTACTCTCAAAACATGAAATTGGAATGGGGGGAGAATAGCATAATGACTTCCACAGAAGATTGCCAAAAACACGGTCCAATTTTTTTTTGGTTTAAATTACTTCAATAGAAAACTGAAAGCTAGGAGATGAATCCTAAATGTATCCAAAAATCTAGTCAAAACCTCAACAGAATACACCTCGACTCAATTCTGATAAATTAAATAGGAACAAAGAAAGCACAGTTTGTAACCCATAAATTACTAATGAATAGCTAACGCTCCCAAGCGCACGCAAAAATTTCTTCAAGTCTGGCAAACCTCACACATACACCAAAAGGAAAACTTAAATACAAGATGCATTCAGGGAAAAACACAAGCACACTTCATTCAACTGATTTTGATTCGTACAAGCATCAACCCTCACGCTAAGCATGCTGTCCTTTCACTTACAAGAAAATCATACACACAAAATGCCAGATGTAAGTTCATTTTCTCATTGGAAATATTTACAAGCAAACCCCATTCACACTCACAGACACTCAGTCACACAGGCACATAGTTTCAGTTTCAACTGAAAGAATAAATATGCCCTGGACACACAACAAAACCACAAACGCTAAACAACGATCTGCCTCAGAGACCCAATTTCTCTCCTGTAAAATATTTCCCACATTGTACATGGGAGAACTGTTGGCGGTGAAGAGAGCACACTAGATCTGAGGAAAACAAAGAAAAATTACATCATTAGAAAAAAACAAACACAATCCATGTGATTTTTGTTTTGTTTTTTGGTAAGTGTTTTATGGAGCTCGCAATGCATAAGGTCATATATAAGCGCGCAGGACACATTAAACATTTGCGGTTGGTAGGGAATTTTGAATTTTGCTCGGGTGGCAGCCGAAGCCTACTCTTATCGATTTTAGACCACCAACTGATCTTTAACGTACGCAACTTGCACATGAGACCTCCGTAATTTTTCGCCCATGTCCGAGAGAAAGCTAGTTGTAGATCTTTCCGACCAAAAGATCAGGGGTATGGCTGAAAGGCAGCTGTTAGAAGGAGCTAAGGAGTAGCAGTAGAAAGACTGCAGAAGAAAGAAACAGGATCTCAAAGAAGCGGGCAAAGGAGATGAGGGGGCGGGGGCAGAAAGTGGAGACGAAAGCAAACGACAGAATATTGCTAGAGAGCAGGAAAGGAGGTGAAAGGAGACAATTTTACAGATGAACATTTTTCTGCGGCTACCCAGATTCGAACCCGGGACCTCCGAATGAGAGGCAAACACCTTAACCTCTAGGCCACAAGAGCCCCCCTCCACGTTAATCCTGAAAAAAAACCCCAACCCAACATCATAGAGCTCTAAACCGACCCTGCAATACCATTCTTCTATGAACTTGCATAAATTTTTTCAAGAACATCATGAAGACCTGAATAAAATATAAATTGTTAACCATCTGCGTGCGGGTCGTGATGACTCATACTTCCCTTCCGCTCGTATCACGACATGAGAGTAGAAACTATACTGCTGACATGAGAATAGCCATTTTTTAAACTGCTGGTGACTAGTCCACTAGTGCAACGTTTATTAGTTCCGTTGGCCGCGCATTTGGGAGGTTTTTTTAATCAGATATTGTTCAGTTTTCAAAATGTTGGATTCGTCAGCTGATTAGACCTGCATGTGAGCCTTGACCAGATTGTCTGAAAATTTTGCACACCCCCCCCCATAAGAGCTTTTGTAGTAGTAGTAGTATAAGGTTTTACGGCGCTCGCAACTGCTAAGGTCATATGAGCGCGCGAAACACAAGTTGTTCACCTCTGCGAAAGTTCACTTCACGACTGGTAACTAGTTTACTTTAAAATGCTAAAAAGTTAAAATATTCAAATTCGGTGTAAA